TAATACATATATTTTTATATTTTAATATATATTATGTAATTTTCTTTTATTTTAAAATATATATGTGTTTTTATATCTTTTTTTTTATGGCTGATATCTTTTTTCTACGGCTGAAAATTTATTTCGATTATTTGAAAACAATATAATGGATAACGGTAGTTACGATCGATTTATGAAATCTCATTTAGAAGTCGATGAAATAGTAATGTATTTTGAATATTGCTCTACTTTGTCAGGAAATGGAAAGCTGAGAACACATTTGCATAAATCTTTCTTCAAAATCAACATTGAAAGCTTATACATTCGAAAGCTCTTTGGAGCGTGAAGAGCTAATGGAGCCAGACTCGGTGTTAGGAAAAAGATATCAGATAAATGAGACACGGTGAAAAGAAAATCGATCTGAAGGCATTGAAAGATTGTTTATTCTCTTGATAATAATTCCGCGTATTTTTTTTTTGACTATAAAAATAATTTATGAAAAAATAATATTTTTATGAAAAAAACACAATATACAATAAATAACTCATCTTTGCTAATAATTATTCTTCATAAAGAAAGAATTTGTTCTTGAAGTATATTTTAAAATATCACGTTTCTTCTTTCAGATGATGTCTTTAAGCGGCGATGTTATGCCGCAATACAGACAGGAAGCACCAAAAACGCCACCGCATATCCTACTGCATTACTGTGCATTTAAAGCGATCTGGGACTGGATAATTTTGTGTTTGACCTTTTACACAGCCATCATGGTGCCGTATAACGTTGCCTTTAAAAACAAGACCAGCGAGGACGTCTCCCTGCTGGTTGTCGACAGTATCGTCGACGTGATATTCTTCATCGACATAGTGCTAAATTTTCACACAACATTCGTCGGTGCTGGTGGCGAAGTGGTGTCTGATCCGAAGGTGAACTTAAGAGCTTTAATTCCTTTGTAAAGAATTTTTTACGAAAAATGAATTTATTATTATTGTATAATAATATTGTAAAATTGTCGCAAATAATTTGCATTTGCTTTTGCGGAATACTTTTGCTCGCATTGATAGTCGACCCGTTCGTTTCAGTTGTTGTTCTCATAAGCAACACTTTGATACTTTCAGGTAATCAGAATGAACTATCTGAAATCTTGGTTCATCATAGATCTGCTAAGCTGTCTACCGTATGATGTGTTTAACGCCTTCGATCACGACGAGGACGGGATAGGTAGTCTGTTCTCGGCCCTGAAGGTGGTACGATTGCTGCGACTCGGCAGAGTCGTACGCAAGCTAGATCGTTATCTGGAGTACGGTGCCGCGATGCTCATTCTTCTGCTCTGTTTCTACATGTTGGTTGCTCACTGGCTGGCCTGTATCTGGTACGTCACATTAAGGTGATTTTACCCTGCGTACACGTATTTAAGGTAACACCCACGCCTCCCCGGGACACGAGTACGCCGTGTAACAATCGTTCACCATTATAACATGATACATTCGAACATATCGTCATGATTCTTGCTGTGCCACGTGATAGACGTTTAGGTCACTGCATGTGAATTCCGTGACACTCATATATTTCTTGTTTTCCATCATATATATTTTTCTCACAGATTTTCTGACCGTCGTTTCTTATTATCTGTATTTGCCTCCCTCTTATATTATCGCAAAAAATGAGCGTTGATCTTTGTATCACTTCTTAATTTACTAAAATATCGTTGTCGAGAAAACTTTATCATATATAAAGCATGTAAACGATATATATTACATTTATATATTATACATTTATACATTATACATGTAGGAGATTATATATACTTATTTAAAATATAAAGTATAAAATGCGAAAACTGACGTTTCGAGACATCACCGCCCTAAAACAGCCGATCGAAACGGACGACACCAAAGGCGGCCTCTCCAAATTCGCCAAGCTCGCCAGATCGGTCACCAGATCAAGATCGGTCCTGGTCTCGCAGTTCAGCTCGCATCTGCCAGCTTTGAAGGACTCAACTGCACCAATTACCACCAAACAATCGCATTTGGGTCATGTAAGTCGCTGTAATTTTATCACACCAAAATTTTTATACTATCATATATTATATAATTTTATGAGTCATATGTGTATTTTTTTTAATACATATATTTTTATATATATTATGTAATATGAATATAACATGTTACTAAAATGTTATATGATTATATATATGAATATAACATGTTACTAAAATGTTATATGATTGTTACAGTCCCACGTGATAGACGTTTAGGTCACTGCATGTGAATTCCGTGACACTCATATATTTCTTGTTTTCCATCATATATATTTTTCTCACAGATTTTCTGACCGTCGTTTCTTATTATCTGTATTTGCCTCCCTCTTATATTATCGCAAAAAATGAGCGTTGATCTTTGTATCACTTCTTAATTTACTAAAATATCGTTGTCGAGAAAACTTTATCATATATAAAGCATGTAAACGATATATATTACATTTATATATTATACATTTATACATTATACATGTAGGAGATTATATATACTTATTTAAAATATAAAGTATAAAATGCGAAAACTAAAATTTAAAGTATTATGAGAAAAGAGAGTCGGACGCAGAAACAGAGAATTGCAATGATATTAAAAATAAACTAATAAACTCTGACAATTAAAATTGATCGCAAGAACTCTGGAAGCACAAAAATATCGATCAAGTTTAACTCGACACGATCTTAAAGGAAATAACATGTGACCCTTCGCATCCAAATGTACATTATCTCGCGATCTTATATCAATATCCCATCCACCAAATCCCGTCCGTAGCCTCGTAAGAGATTCCGTTGTGTTAAAGGTATTCGATAGGAAGATCAGACGCCGACGCCGGGGTACAATATTCGTGGTTGTGGAAGTTGGCCAATGTTACCCAGTCACCTTACAGCTACTTGTGGACCAATGCCAGCACCGCACCTGAACTTGTAGCCGGCCCATCACGTCGCACGATGTATGTCACTGCTCTTTACTTCACGATGACTTGCATGACCTCCGTGGGTTTTGGGAACGTTGCGGCTGAGACCGACAACGAGAAGATTTTTACCATCTGCATGATGATCATTGCTGGTATGAACAATATTACTATTAATCCCTAATTTTTTTGTCGATGTATGTAAATATATAGAAAATTAATTAAATTAAAAATGAGAAAAATTCATAAAATAAGAGTTTGAAACGTTTTTTTTCCTTTCTCTCTCTCTCTCTCTCTCTTTCTCTCCCTCGACCAGCCTTATTGTACGCTACGATCTTCGGTCACGTCACCACGATCATCCAGCAAATGACGTCCGCCACCGCCAAGTATCATGACATGTTGAACAATGTAAGGGAATTCATGAAGCTGCACGAAGTGCCGAAAGCCCTCAGTGAGCGCGTCATGGATTACGTCGTCAGCACTTGGGCGATGACCAAGGGTCTAGACACGGATAAGGTTCTCAACTACTGCCCCAAGGACATGAAGGCCGACATCTGCGTGCATCTCAATCGGAAGGTCTTCAATGAACATCCCGCCTTCAGGTAAATTCAATCGCACATCTCCCGATTTTAAACTTTGAAAAAGAAAATATTTTGAATAGTCTTAATTTTATTAATTATACTAATTCATTATATTTCGCGCTTTTATTATCTAGATTAGCGTCTGACGGGTGTCTGCGCGCTTTGGCGATGCACTTTACCATGTCGCACAGCGCACCCGGCGATCTGCTGTATCACACGGGAGAGTCCATCGACTCCCTATGCTTCATCGTGACCGGCAGCCTCGAGGTCATACAGGACGACGAGGTGGTGGCGATTCTGGGGAAGGGTGATGTTTTCGGCGACAGTTTCTGGACGAATCCATCAATCGGCCAAAGTGCGGCGAACGTTCGAGCGCTCACTTACTGCGACCTGCACACAATCAAGCGGGATCGGCTGTTGGAAGTGTTGGACTTTTATCAGGCTTTTGCAAATTCCTTCGCCAGGAATTTGATCCTGACTTACAACTTGAGTCACCGGGTGAGTCTTTTAAATGGAAAAAAAAAAAGATATCGTATCGTTTATACGAGCACACCTGTTGTAAATCGATGGAAGAAATCTGATTGGATCATAATTCTACCGAAAGAGATGCAGATTTTGATTATTTATTGAAGTTTTAATAGATCTTACAGTAATCAATGATTTCCTTCGATCTTATAACTGGTAAATGATCGGTATGTTTTCATTATATGTGTGTATTTTTTTATTCCTTATATGATGACACGATTATACAGTCTTAGTTAACAAGAGCAATTTGTATGGCACACGGTTATTCGTTTACGAATAATTAACATACGCAGAGAACGATAAATTAACAATCATAACGACTCGTCAGGCACTATACAATAGGCATTCAGGCCACGCAACGATTGGCATGATATTATTTAATATCATGGCGTTACATTTGACAAAAAAGATACATGTATAGACGATGTGATAAAATTGCATGATAAGTAATAATCGAGTCACCAAAGAGAAAATCGCGAATCGAGAGACATCAGGCCGTTATAAAAAGGGACAAAAAAGTCCTATATAATATACAATATAATATACTTAAATAATTATACAAATAAATAGCCTCACACACATATGTCTGTAAAAAAAACGTACATAAAGATCGCGCATTCGTACATATATACAAACAAACAGAACTTCCTCATTCAAACTTTTCGCGATGATTTTCATAATGTAATTCGTTTCCGTTAATGTGCTTTAATTACTTCTCGCAGCGTTATCACACGGATTCAATTCAACCTTAAAGATTATGTAAAATGGGAAGATTCTCTGTTTTTCTTTTTTTCGTCTATACTATAACCAGTTATTTTTGTAAATTATTAAAATTTTATACATATGTCTCTCATACCCGTATATATCCCGTTACAATTATCAGAATCGATAACAAATTTTATTTTGATATATTTTATTCGAATTAAATCAAATTGAACAATCTTAAATATCTGCAAATATCTTTACAACATTAGCATTCTTTCTCTCTTTTTCTCTCTTACCCTCTGCTCATACTTCCATAAAAATTCCTAAATTTTGTATCACAATTACTCATGTTCTTCGCGAAGCCCCTCACTATGTAACTTACGACCGGATAGTTCTAGCATCACTTTCGATGCCGGGTCTTGATCCAACACAGATTTCACCTCGCGCACGTCTTCTTCGACGTCCGGCATCGGGCCGACCCCCCACACCTCGCAGTGTTTGATTTTAAAGTCTTCCTTACCGCTAAGTTGTACATAATTCTGGAAAGTAGTGCATGACAAGCTCGATTTACCGGTGCCGTATTCGCAGTCCAACCAGAGGCCGGGATAGTTAAGCTGCCCCCCCATGAGCAGGCCGTTAGGCATCGTTTGCTGATGGAGATTGAGATACTGATAGTGATTGTTGTAATTTGTCGACGAGAACGTCAGTATATCCGGGTCGAGCTTGAATAGGAACGAAGTTTGATTCCCTATGAAGTTCGGTCCTAGACTCCAGCTATCGGAGGCAAAACCGCCAAACACGTGGTCATCCATATCTTGAAGTATGATTATCGTTGCGCCTTGCATGACGATCCTTCCCAGCATAGTGGAAAACGACTCGCCGTGCACCTGACTCGAGAACAGAAATCGCCATTCGTCACGTAGCGCGTGTGGCAAACTCAGATTCAGGAACAGAACATCTCCTAAGCCTAGTATACTCGGAAAGTGCGGTATATTCTCCAAACCCTTGCACAATGGCAGAAGATTCAGATCATTTATCCGCGCACTTGTATTCTTATCGCTACCTTTCTTCTGAGAGATTAGATAGAGGTATTGGAAAACATGTGACTGAATGCTCTTGAATGTAGCTGCCGTCACGAACCAATTTTCCACTTGATCGACGGTTAATACGTCCCCGTATTTCACCAGATCCTCGCAGAGACAACGGGAACGCATTCCTATACGTCTAGTGTTGACAGTACAGCCGATGCTGATCCAGCTAAGGTGATGCGTATTACCAGAGTTCTTTTGTAGTCGCAAGTAAGAGTTGATCGTTGCTTGAATGTACTGAAGAAATATAGCGGTGGGCATTTCATACTTTTGTTCTTCGTCCGAGAAACCATCAAAGATCAAATTGGTGCGTTCCTCGGGACTACCACGTACGGCAAAAACATAGAGTCTACCAAAGTTTTCACCATTGACAGCCGAGACCTTCTTGCCAGGTTCATGGCAGAGGAACCGTACCACAAACTGCAGCAATATATCGTCCAAATGAGTCGACCAGTGTTTGAATATGTCTTCGCGTTTAATGGAACCAGAGCTGCGGGACATGGATTTAAAGAGGTTCTCCACTAGTGTCAACTCGTCCGCAGAAAGAATATTCGCTGACGAAGCGGAACGGCTCGACCCATGACCCATCTGAAATAATCGCATAGCATAATATTAATCATTCTGGCCATTTCAAAAGTAATTCTTCTATTAATTTCATTTTTCTAATCATAAATTATAGTGCTTCCCAAACATGTAAATTAATTCTGCGAACTTGTATCGCAAAACTATATCAGCAACGTACATTTGTTTTTCTTACAATGCGCAACAATTATTTCATGCAAATTATTGTGTACTATATCTAGTAACATTAATTTGCTGTCGCAAAGTGCAAAAGTAAACTGTTGAAGCCAAGAAAACTTCCACACACACATACATACACACACACACACACACACACACATCTTAGGATCTTTACAGATCATGCTATACATATTCTCGCTACCGGCTTTAGAGTCGTAAAAAGAATCTCTGTGCAAGTTTTGCCACGACACACTTTTCGAGCACTGAGATTAGGCGAAGGCTCGATATCGCCTTCCGCGTTATCGTCGATAACGCGACATTCTTAGGATCTTTGCAGATCATGCTATACATATTCTCGCTACCGGCTTTAGAGTCGTAAAAAGAATCTCTGTGCAAGTTTTGCCACGACACACTTTTCGAGCACTGAGATTAGGCGAAGGCTCGATATCGCCTTCCGCGTTATCGTCGATAACGCGACATGATGTACGCACCTTTTGTACGGACGAGCGATCTCCCTTCTTGACAGTCCATATACCTTCTCGTTTGTCACCCCCGTCCTGAGGACGCAGAGATTACCACCCCCGATATTTCACGGCTCTCCACACGTGACGGGTGACGGCGGCTCGCGTCGTCTCACGTAACGCCGCGACGTCACGTCACGTTACGTCACGTCACGTCGTCGTCGCGCGAACGACTCGAACGCGCTCAGCAGCGGATTTTAGAGGTTATGCGCAGCGCGCCCCTACGTCGACACCTATCGACTTCCGCCATCGCGCCTGCGCCACTGACCTTCGGCACGCTTCACGTATGTATCATTTATGCGCGACGTGTGTGCACCTTCCTCGTTCGTCTCGCGCGCGCGAGAAAATCGACGGTGAAGCTTCAATGAGGCTTGTCAAACGATCGTCTCGGCTTTATCGTTCGAATATCGCGGAATAAAGGGTTGCAGTGGCGAATCGAAAAGATCGGGGGCAAGATAACGTCCGTCGTAACAAAGTACGGGAAATATCGGAAAGAGGGGGTGGAAGGGCGGGAGTACGAGAGAGGGAAAAGACGAATATTGGAAGGAGAAAATAATTTAAATTTTCACGCGAATAAGCTAGAAGGCAAGCTTGCGATTGCGTCTGTATAAATTTGAATTCGGCAAAGATATTTATATAGATGAGATATTTCTAGAATCTAAAAAAGAGCGCGAAACGAGAGAACCGGAAATATAGCCGTTTCATCCGTCCCGCGTTACGTCATTGCTACGTCACGTATTCATATGCATATACAGGGTGAGGCATTTATAGTGACGCGGGCGTATTTCTCGGAAAATACGCCCGCGTCACTATAAATGCCTCACCCTGTATATTCACGTCTATGTGCATATAAACATATGCACAAAAATTTCGATAAGATGATGCGACGAAAGGATCACGAAGGGCGCGAAATTGCGCGGTCTCGCTTCAAGGAAATAGACGCGAATTTCGCAAGTTGTGCAATTTTCAAGGAAATGTGATGAGGCGAGATCACCCTCTACTCACAGAGCGCATTCAAGATGACGCACGTGAATAATGCGGCGAAGCCGAAACACAGCTCCGGCTGTTTCCACGCACTTTTCGCGTCAGCTCGAAAACACTTCGCTGTTAAGTATTGTTTTAATGAAAATTCATTTTTTTTTTTCACAAGGATATTTCACGCAGAGTACTAACAAGTTATTAAATAATATGAAGTATACTAATTGTATATTTCATAAATAATATAGGATAAACTTTTTATATTTATTATAGAAAAAATGATAATTGAAATATATAAACATAATTGTAATTATTAAATTTGTTTTTAATAATAGTAGTAATTATCGAATATCTTAATTCCTTAGAGATTTGCAGTATTAAATTCTTATTTTACTAATAATGACTTTTATTACATATATTTATTGTTACATATATTGTATATATATTTAAATTAACGAAGTTAAATCCTGTGTGCAGCTCATCTTTCGAAAAGTCGCCGATGTCCGTCGAGAAAAAGAATTGGCCGAGAGAAGGAAAAACGAGCCGCAGTTGGATCAGGCGCAGGATCATCTAGTTCGCAAGATCTTCTCGAGGTAGGAAAACATTTGCCAGCAGCTATTAGTTATCGGATACAATCGGATGCAATCGGGCTCGATGCCAGTTACAAATCCTTGGACGAAATAAAAGGAATCCATTCTGAGAAATTGTATGCTCGACCTTCGGGAAGTCTCGAAGAATAGAAGAATAAAAGAAGAAGTTTGATAATTTAACAAAAATGTAATCTTTGAAAATTACAAATATTTTGATTTTATAGAATGGATTTCTGGTGCAAAAATTACGATTGTTGTTGCAAGCATTAGCTTAGTAGTTAACGACTTCCGGTTGCTACTAATGATAAACTGTTCGAAAGTATATGCTTCGATCTGTTTTGACAACTATCGAAGCATGCGAAAAAGCTCATTTAATTTTGCATTCAAAATTTCTTCTACACGATGTCTAGATATAAGTGACTTTCGCGACATCATAAGATTCTGCATAATAATTCATGATACTTTTCACGCGTACAACGATATACGATCTTTCATAATCATTAGCGCAATCTTTTATTGTTATCCCTATGAAAATTTTTCATGCCACGAAAGATAACTGTACATGAAATAATTCTGTATACTAATCAATCACAGCATTTATATACTCGGTAAAGTGCATACCAAAAATTATTAATTAATAGAAATGAAAACATCGATCGGCGAAAATAAATTTGGCAATAATTAAAGTTATTGACGAAGATTGTGAGATTTTGTCCAAACAAACTTTAAATGAACCGGAAGTATACATAATAGTGCTGCTGATGGATCACTATAGCTTCCTTCCGTATCTTTGTACGCGTAACATCCTGTGTGACAATGTAGAAGTGTGTAGAAGAAAGAGAAAAAGAGAGAAAGAGAGAAGAAGAAAAGCAAGCAAGAAAAAAAAAAGAATGAGAGAGATAGAGCCAAAATGTGTGCAAAGAATTTATCGCGGACGTTCTTTATATTTTCCGTGGCTGTTGCTGAATGTGATCGTGTTGCTTGGCTGGCCTGTTATTTCCGCGAAGGTTCAAGAGCGACGGGGAAGGCCAAATCGGTATAACCAGGATTATGAGCGGACGGTCCCAGCAGGATTCCGATGAGGAGCTCACCGTCAACGTCCTGCCGCCCTGGCCGAGTTTTAGGCAATTTCATTTTTCTTATTCATATTTATTTCTTCTTCAATTCTCTTTTTTGCCTTTTTCCTCGCTACCTACACAATCTCTTATTATTATCTCGTTAACATTATTATTATTATATTGTCATTATTATTATTGTTATTATTATTATTATCCTTTATCTGTCGTTGAATTTATATTTATTACTGTTATGATTGCCTTATTATTATAACCGTGGCAGTTTTATTAACACCCACTGCGTATATGTATACGATGAATACTATATTATATATTACATTATACATATAATTCCTGTTTTTCAATATTCGTACATGTGTATATATGTAATATTCACGGATATATACTGTATATCACGGACAGGGCGCGAGCGTGATATATGTGTCTTTGCGAGTCAATCCCACATTTGAACATTGATGTTTTGAGCTTTGTTAATTAGAAGCCTTGTTAAATATTTTCGGTTTTTATCGCAATGTTGATATATATCTATTTGTCAACTTTAAAAGACATGATAATGCAGCGAGAGAGAAAGAGAGAAATAAAAGATGAAATAATTTTATTTAAAAAAGATTTAAGCTAATGTGTATGTTTGAAGAAAATTATAATATAAGATATAACGTTATTAAAATATCCAATAAGATATATACTTTTTATAAAGAATTTATATTCAAGCCGAAACTATAGCTTTTAATTTCAATAGTTTAATCAAGCAAATGAGGGATTAAATTGTATCTTTATCTTTTAAAACAGAGATGACATATACGTGACAGGATGATTTTATATAATATTGACAAATTTCACTCGATTTAATTTTCGATCCCAATATACAGTCGATTTTTTCTTAGACAAATTAAATATTTGGTTTATAAACAATTTTAAACGAGCGACTTTTACGACGTTTAATGGTGAACTCAAGGAAACATAAAAATCTAGATTTAGTTAAACTTTCGTGACAGAGAGAGAGAGAGAGAAAGAAGAAATCGATCTCTTCTTCAGATTGGTCGGAGATTCCTTTGAGTTGAAATTTGTCATTGTCATTCGAGAACTCTGTAAACACACACACATACACGCTCGGGCGCTTTCCCCGCCTTAATTCGCCACGACGAATACCGTAATGTGCGTCCCGTAATGTGCCAGCCGGAAGATATCACGTACGTGCACACGCTTGAATGTGAACAACGATAAATTTTCATCGCACGTCGAGACACGAACAAATCGAAATTTGGCGATCGATCGACCACCGCGAAATTTCTCTGCCATCGAGAATGTGCTCAGATTCACCTTATTATCGAGAACGCATTTATTTAAAACATTATTTAAAACTTGTTAAAATTAATACAATTTTTTTACTTTGCAATAATATCAAAATTTTATTCATTCTTTGATAATATCTTATAAATATTTATTGAGCTAACAAAAGAGGAAAATTAGAGAAAAATTGACTTGAAATTGACTTGATAATTATTTTAATATTTAGAATTTATTGGATAATTCTTGCTCAAGTAATTCAAACTTTTCTTGTCAAGATGTATAAATACTATATTGCAGAGATTATACGTGAATAAGACACGCTACAAAGATCTTTAAGATTTGTTCGTTCTTCCAGCAGCATTTTTAAACGAGACGTACACTTCATTTGCGGTTTCATATATCACCATCATTATTTTAATAATCACATTGCAGTTTCTAACGAATGCTAGAGTGCTGTAAGATATACGGCTTCATAAGGCTATGCGCATCTCTTTTTTCACGTCATATATATTTTCTTACAACTAAAAGTCAGAATTATATATAGAGCAAACCTCAGGATTTCGTATAGTTTTCACCTTTCCCGAATATACAGCTTTGCAATTTTATTTGTCAGCTTTCATAGTGTTCAATGCTAGAACGAGATATCATAGTCGTACTTTGTTGTGTAAAACAGTCATGATTCTTACAAAATCTATTAAGGTAGAAAGCAAACAAGCCCAAGTCATATATAAGGCGATACCCAAAAAAAATTAGTGCGGGCAATGAGTATTCTGCCTAATAAGACAGACGATATCTCATCCAAACAGTCGAAAATTCCGAGTGTAACTATATTAATTATTAATTGAATTAATAAACATAAATTAAATAAAATAATTAATTAAAATAATTAAATAAAAAAAATTAATTTTTCTTTGAAACTAATTAATCTGCACAGAGAACAATTAATTTTCCATTGAAATTGACGCATTATTATTCTACGTTTGGCTTTTAATATCCCGCAAAATTTAAATTTGTGTTTTCACAAATAAATTAATCTCTTATTAATCTCTTGATTGTTAAATTTATAAATATTCTTGATACTAACATCGCGGGGTGAGAAATTGCCGAAATCCTGACGTATTTTTAAACGAGCATTCGATCTTCTTCAATTCTTATGCAAAGCAAAGTGCATGCGACGAACGCACACACTCTAGGATTCAGACCTTTTTTATCTTTTATATAGAATATATATATATATATATATATATATATATATATATATATATATATATATATCTTTACAAGTACGTATATATATGAACATAAATAAATTACTGTCATGCCGCTGTGCCCGAGAAACTATCGGAATGCCAGAAAAGAAACTAAAAGCGAATATTATGCTACGTTTGCGATTTACAGTCTTTTGCCTTTTTTTATATTCTCTCGATATGTTCATCAAAAATTTTATATATCTATGACTTTTGCATTCTCAACTGCCTGACTTCCGCACGCACACAACGTGCTTTCACCGCTAATAATTGTCTCTCGAGAGTCTTGACAGCCTTATTGTTACTTTTCTCTATAGCATAATTAATTAATTATATTCTCGCCAATTTATAATAGTTTTTTTTTTTAAATAATTATTATCGCAACCAGCCAAAAGGCATTTTTATCGTTTAATGATAGACAGTATTTATTGATTTACATGCATGGAAGAATCGAGTTTTGACGTCATGATGGCGCTTTAATATATATTTTAATCTTTATACAATTTTTTATAAAACTTGAAAAAATTTTTACACGCACAAAAATTTTCAGCGTCCTCAAATTATTATTTGTGCTATCGATACATTAATCTGTATAGTAACGAATTATATGGTAATTATATATACACATTTTAGTAGAACTTTGAAGTCAGGGTAATGAAAGTAATTAAATCGATCCTCGATTAATTTCTCGCAAGGATGAGTTTGCTTTGACGCACATAATAATGTGATTTTAATAACATTTTCTGCCATCTACCTACGCGAACCACGTTTGACAAAGACAACGCCAATAATTAATAAGTATATCGCAACTATTCGTCACGTTTAATATATGTTCGATAATGTGGCATTCCTAAAGTTTGTCGGGCAATTTCTCATCTCCTGAGTCTATCATTATCGCCAAAAGGTATATCGAAACGTTGGTCGACGCTGATCGGTGCCGTTCCGCGATATTCTTTTTAAGAAAAGAGTCAAATATAATTCATATATATATTTATATTTA